GATTGGTGTGTGGCTGTTTGCTATCCCAGTATAAAGAGAGATGAAGAGGAGTCTGGTGTTGGGTATAATAACAAGTCTTGGTGTTTTGGCATTATTAAAGATGAATATACATGTGAACATGACTATCAAGTACAGAAGTTACACCCGGAGTCCCCAGTGCAGAGATTGGGTTTATATTTGGATTATGAAGGTGGCCGTCTGTCCTTCTACCAGCTGAGTGACCCCATCAGACACCTCCACACCTTCACCGCCACCTTCACCGAACCCCTCCATGCCGCCTTCTATCTGAATAAGGGAGCCTGGGTAAAGATGATACCTCCGATGTTTTCTATAAAACCATAATTTACAACATATTGTTTTTGTCATCAATACAAATAATACTCCTGGAAATTAGCTGGGACAAATAAAGGATCATTAAACTAAGAACATAACTAAGACCATAAACCAAGATTGCATGCAATATGGCAAATTGGATGCATTCTGTGCATAGATGGTGTACAGAACGCCGCTCCCCCCCCCCCCCCGAAATGTAATTTCCTGCTTGTGTGATTGGCTCACTGGTTTTCCCAAAAGTCTGCACTAAGACACAAGTCAAATTTTGGGCATCCCCTGCAACAAAAAATTTATTTTTGTTGAGATATTTCCATAGCACACACACATCTACAAGGATGCAGACCCTGCCACCTTCCTCAGAGCCCTACAGGTGCAGCAGCTGATTGATCATTACAAAAATCACTCATATTTAGATTCACTCTGCACATGGACACAGCAAACATTTATTTCTGCAAAACAACAAAAGGTAGATTTTGGGCATCCCCCTGCAACAAAAAAAATAAAAACTTTTATTGAGATACTCCCAAAGGGAACTCACGTCTACGGGGATGCAGACCCTGCCACCTTCCTCATTAGAGCCCTGCAGGTGCAGCAGCTGATTGATCATTACAAAAATCACTCCCCTTCAGATTCGTTCTGCACATGCCTGATTAAAGGGTCCTGCGACACTCCGAAACGTTGCCTTGCTGTAACTATGTGATCGTTCATTAAAACTTTTGGACCCGTATTGGTGATCCTCGGTGTGCTGGGGACATTCTCCCTCGCTGATTCTGTTCGGTTCCAGCTGACAGTCGCTGCAGCACCCACTTATACACACCGCCATTTTTAACGCAGGAACGTGTGCATTTGGATTGGACACTTTCACTCTGCACTTGGACACAGACAAACAAACATCTATTTCTTCAAAACAACAGAAGGTAGGAATCTGCATCAAAGCTTGTTAAAATCCCCGCAATGTACAGAGATCACCCAGAATATTATTTTTTTTTCTCCACAAAAGTGGAATTACTCTTAAGCCCGGTTTCACACTGATGCGGTGCGGAATTTGCAGCGTTTTCTGTGCGAATTCTGCACTGCATCAGAATCGTACCCCGTTCATGCGAACCGCTGCGGGTGTGTATGTTAATTTAGCAACACCCCGAATGTGGTCCGCCAAATGAGGTGTGATGTGCAGAATCGGATCACATAGGTGTGAATACCCGTGCGATCTGATTCTATTGCGGACCGAAAAAAGGGTCTGTACCTTTTTAGTGCGGTGCGATTACAAAATGTACGGCTCCAATCGCACCGCACACAAACCGCATGCAATCTACACATAGAGCAATATAGAGCCCCTGGCACAGCATTAGAATCTGTCTGGGGAAAAGAGTGCTGTACTGCTGGGGAGAAGAGTGCTGTACTGCTGGGGAGAAGAGTGCTGTACTGCTGGGGAGAAGAGTGCTGTACTGCTGGGGAGAAGAGTGCTGTACTGCTGGGGAGAAGAGTGCTGTCCATCCAGAGAGGACAGAGAGACAACCAGTCAGGTAAGTCGTGTCTGATGGTGTAAAATTTGATTCTTTCAGGCATCATATAATCTTGCAGAAATACCTTTTTTTTTTTTGTGTGAGGAAAACAACTCAAATTAAAAGTCCTTTTTGTTCTTGTATAAAAATCAAAAATATGTTTAACCCCTTGCCTACTGGGCACTTATACCCCCTTATTTACCAGGCCAATTTTCATGCAAGATTGTACTCATATGAAATTTTTATCATTTGTATCTCACAAATAGAGCTTTCTTTTGGTGATATTTACTCGCTGCTGGGCACTTTACTTTTTGTGCTATAAGCAAAAAAAGTGCAAAAAAAATTTGAAAAAAAAAAAAAAAAAGTTTCTTTGTTTCTATTATAAAATTTTTCAAACAGGTAATTTTTCTCCTTCACTGATGTGCGTTGATGAGGCAGCACTGATAGGCGGCACTGATGGGCACTAATAGGCGGCACTGATGGTCACTGATAGGCGGCACTGATAGGCAGCACTAATGAGGTGTCACGGATAGGTGGCACTGATTGGTGGCACTGATAGGCGACACTGATAATGGGTACTGATAGACAGCACTGATCGGTGGCACTGACTGACATCACTGCTGGGCACTGACTGGCGGCACTGACTGGTGGCACTGACTGGCAGCACCGCTGGGCTGCACTGATGGGCAGAGGTGGGTGGGCACAGGTGGGTGGCACTACTGGGCACAGGTAGGTGGCACTTCTGGGCACAGGTGGTGACACTGCTGGGTGGCACAGGTGGGTGCACTGCTGGGCACAGGTGGGCGGAACTTGTTTGTGGCACTGCTGGGCACCGATCATCAGGGCACTGATCATCAGTGACCCTGATGATCGGTGCCGATCCTCGCTCTGACAACTGCCGGTTTTCGGCAGTACTTTCCTCACGATCTGACAGCGTGAGGAAAGTGCAGCCGAGAACCGGCATTTGCATTTCCCGGTGATCAGCGTGTCATTGGACACGGCTGATCACGTGGTAAAAGGCCGCTGTGATTGGCCTTTTACCACGTCATGTGATCAGCTGTGTCCTTAGGACACAGAGATCGCCAGGTGCGCGCCTTCGGGGGCGTGCAGGAGAGCGCGTTCTGGGAGGACGTCATATGACGTCCACCCAGAACTGGCCGGCCGCAGTGCAGCCGTCATTCGGCTATCTGCGGTCGGCAATTAGTTAATATCAAAATAGTGAATGATTACAGGATGAATATTAGAACACCGAATATAAAACAATGTCTAAAAGCATAGTTATGTTCTAGAGATCACGTTTGCTCAGGGGCGGACTGACCATTTGACCCGGGGTCAGTAGGGGGCCCCATGAGATGCCCCTGGTACCTTTTTCATAGGCTTTTTTGAGTTTGGGCAAGGACATAGGGGCCCCATGATCCCCTATTGCCCGGGGGGCCCCATGAGTTGTCAGTCCACCCCTGCGTTTGCTTGATGAGTTCTGGTATGCTTGTGTGTGTTCATATCTCTGTGTTTTCTATTGTGAGCTGAAAAGTCTTCTTTTTAGGGCTCATGTACACTGCAGCTGATAAACTGACATTCAGGAGCTTTTCTGCGGTTTTTCCAGCAGCCCCTGAACCCTCCCTAATGTTTTCCTATGTGTCCATGTACATATCGTCATTTACAGGCAGTTGAGTTTACAGTCGTTTTTTGAACGCACCAAACTTGCATTCAGGAGTAGATTTTATCAGCGTTTCAAACGCCAAACGCTTGTAAACGCGGCTAACCACGTTTTTTTTTACTTTTCCATGTCTAGATGCTGTCCAGAGCCTTTTCGTCATCAGAAATGCATGCAAAGCGTTTCCCATGTATTCAAATGGACCCGGTACACCAGCGCAGTTAGTTCCAGGTTTTGCGTGAAGGAAACAATGGTAGAACGCGCCGCATTATACTAATGATGGGATCCATAGTGACTACAACCAGAAAAGACAGGTCATCTCAACACATACTGCTCTCTCTGCTTCTGCTCTCTCTATTTCTCTCAAAATGTCTGAAATAGTTAATTTTTTTACCGTTTTTCAGTGTATTCTGGGCATTTGGAAAGGTATCCTGATGTTATCTTTTAAAACCGCTTCTAAACCCGGTATGCAAATGCAGCTAAACTGACGTTTTTAACCTACGTTTTCCAGCCGTCAGTTTCCATTGTGCAGAAGAGTTTTCCAAACGCCCCGTGTACATAGAGCCCTTAATCCAAAAATGCTATGTGCCCCCTACTTCTCATCATTGTGGGACCCCTAGTGTTATTCAAGTATTATTTATTTCAGGTACTTATATAGCGCCGTCAATTTACGCAGCACTTTACATATATATTGTACATTCACATCAGTCCCTAACCCTCAAGGGGCGTACAATCTAAGGTCCCTAACTCACATTTATACATACACATACTAGGGCCAATTTACCTACCGACATGTTTTTGGAGTGTGGAAGGTAACCCACACTCACACAGGCACAGGAAGAACATACAAACACCAGGCAGGTGTTTCCAGAACACAAAAAGCCACCTCCTGCACTCAGAGACCCAGATCAGGAATTAGTGGACTGATCATCCTTAGCGAAACATATCCACCAAAGGATCAAAAGCTGTGCAGCCCTTTTGGAAGGCTGGAGATGCCTAGGACAATACTGCAGAAAAGGCGTGATGATGTCATTAACTCCGCTCTGACATGTTGCGTCATGCCGATGTGACTTCTTCAGAGGCTTCCCCAGTGAATGCTATTGAGCTGAAATCCTAAAGGGAAAGTGTATGCAATTTACCTGTAGTGCACCAGAATTGTGCACAGCTATTTATTGACAATTTTTACTAAAATTAATGTTTTAGCAAGAAAGCACTAAGATTTTTTTTTTTCTTTTTTAAAATTTTCTTTTCCTGAGCACCTATATTTGTAAAGAATATATAGAATTTAAAAAAGAGGTGATATATGGGAAAACATGGTGACCTTTTGGAATAAAAGGAGTTAAGAAGACCAGAAGGTGTGGTGCATATTTCAAGCAGAGGAGTGTGGAAGACCTTCGGTCATCCATCTGCCCTTTAAAGGGGAAGGCCCATATCTGACCTATTGGAAACACAGGTCAAATATTAAGGTGAGAGTTTGGAGTGACTGGTGGTGGATTCATGTAGGAAGGCAAAAGCAGGGGCGGACTGACCATTTGGAAACTCGGGCACTGCCCGAGGGCCCGGGGTCAGTAGGGGGCCCCATGAGATGCCCCTGGTACCTTTTTCATAGGCTTTTTTGAGTTTGGGCAAGGACACAGGGGCCCCATAATCCCCTATTGTCCGGGGGCCCCATGAGTTGTCAGTCCGCCCCTGGCAGAGGGTTAATATTGGAGTGATTTATGGCGCAGTAAAGACTCACACATAAGAACGTTGAATATTGTGGTACTTTTTCCTTACTTTTATTCACTGATATATTCACATGGTGGTACTAGATATATGAACAGTATATTGTCATTTCCAGTATATTATTAGATGGTTCTTTTGAAGCACGTGGCAAGTGAAGGTTTAGTTTTTGTAAATTTACAGCCCTGCAATTTTGGAATTGTTCATGATGTGTGGGTGGGAACACACAATATTGCTAGCAGCAGCAGTTGTAGAGTTATAGGGACGTTGTATATAGGTTGCACAAGGGTTTTTCATGATATTTTACTCCCTGGAACATGTTACACCCTAAATAAGGGTGTAACATGTTCTAAAGGTGAAATTATCTTTCGACTTGTGAAACCTCCGCTCTCGGTGTGCAAACAGGTTTTGTTTTGTTTCTTCTTTCTTGATCCCAGAATGGCGTTGGCTGCTCTAGGAGAGGAGCTGAGCTGCTCCATCTGCCTGAACCTTTATACGGAGCCGGTGTCACTGAGATGTGGTCACAACTTCTGCCGGGATTGTATTGTGACTGCTCTGGATACACAGTCTGGAGTGTATTCCTGTCCCGAGTGCAGAGAGGGAGTATGTGGAGCGTCCTGTGATGGAGAAGAACAGGAAGTTGTGTAACATTGTGGACAACTTCAGATCTACACAACAAAAGGAGGAGAAAGGTGAGATCCTCTGTACATATTGTGTGGATTCTCCAGCGACAGCTGTCAAGACTTGTCTGCATTGTGAGACTTCTATGTGTGATAAACACCTGACAGCCCACAACAAGACAGTGGACCATGTGCTGATAGAACCCACCTCATCCTTCGGTAAAAGAAAATGTTCCATCCACAAGAAGCTTCTGGAGTATTACTGCTACGAGGACGCCGTCTGCCTATGTGTGTCCTGCTGTCTGGTGGGGATACATAAAGGACATGAAGTGGAACCTCTAGAAGAGGCTTTGGAGAAGAAGAAGGAGAAACTAAGAAATGTTCTAGAAAACCTGTCTATGAAGCAAGAGACAACTGAGAAGGAAATTTTGAATCTAAACGAACACAAGAGGAAAAGGCAAGAAAAAGCAGATAATGAGAAGAAGAGAGTGACTGCCCTGTTTGAGGATATCAGGAGACAGCTGGGGGTCCAGGAACAGAGAGTCCTGAGTGAGATCTCCAGGCAGGTAGAGGAGGTCTCCCTGTCAATCAATGATCTCATCAAACAGTTGGAGATACGGAAGGATGGACTGTCCAGGAAAATTGGTCACATCGAGAAGTTGTGTGACATGACCGACCCAACAACTGTCCTACAAGATCATAAATCGGGTACTGAGGAGGTCCTTCACGACACGGGAGATCAGAGTTTGGCGGAATCTTCTGTTTGTGATCTGGATGATTTCATGATCTCTCTTGTGTTGCACAGATCTATAACTGAACTTATCACGAATATGCAATTAAAAAAACAACTTCTATATACAGGATACAACCAATCTGCTATTGGATATAAAAACTGCCAGTATCTTTGTGGCTTTATCTGATGACCTGAGAACAGCATCGCACTCTAAGACATTTACGCTTAGACCACCATTACCACAGAGATTTACAGAGTACCCTCAAGTGATGAGTATGGAGAGCTTTTCCCATGGCAGACATTACTGGGAGGTAGAGGTTGGTGACTGTGGGGAATGGGACGTGGGGGTTTGCTATCCTAGTTTATTAGGAGAGATGGAGAGGAGTCTGGTTTTGGGTGTAACAACAAGTCTTGGTGTTTCTGTACAACAGAAGACAAACCTGTGTCTCTCGATGAATCTCAGAAACAGCAGGTATACCCAGAGCCTCCTGTGCAGAGATTGGGGTTATATTTGGATTGTGAAGATGGTCGTCTGTCCTACTACCAGCTGAGTGACCCCATCAGGCACCTTCACACCTTCACCACCACTTTCACCGAGCCCCTCCATGCTGCCTTCTATATTGATGATGGAGCCTGGGTAAAGCTGGTATCTCCAGTATTTTCTCTAAAACCATAATTTACACCATCAATACCAATAACAAAGAGGGTGATATCATCTTGGAAATAAATTAACTGGAACAATTAAAGGGAGAACTAAAATGAGAACATAAACCAATGCTACTCGAAAGAGATCCTGGCAACATTCAGAATTATACGTGTTCATATCTCCTACTGACTCTTGTATCTCCAAACCTTCTGGGATCTGAAAGAGGGACACCTTTTAGGCAGGGGCGGACTGACAATGGTCACCAGAACAAATGTAGAGGATGGATCTCTGCAGAGGGGACACGGACAGCAATAAAAACCTGACAGAGGTTCTAATCCATTCCCGACTCCATTCAAAACAACCAAAAAGTCTTCAGATCATCTCTAAGGCTCCGTTCACACCTATAAAAGTTTGTTTTTTGCCCGTTTTGCAGTGCTTTTCATAGTTCGTTTTGCGTTTGACACATTTTGTTCATCTTTTTTTTTTTTAAAAGTCGAGGGTTTTTTTTTTGTTGCTGGGCAGAATAAAAAAATGCAAAACGCTGCAAAAACGCACTACAACGCATTTCAGCAGATTCTCCATTGAACTCTATTGTAGCAAAAATGCTGCTTTGAAACAAGTCCCTGATCCTTTCCAAAAATGCAGCAGCTCAAAAAAGCAGAGATGTGAACGTGTCCCATAGGAAACCATGAATGGCCTGTAGTGCGTTTCTGCAAAAAGCACTAAAAACAAAGCCAGAAAAAAAAAAAATCACCATAAAAAAAAAACCCACCAAAAAAAAAAAAACAAACCGCATTGGTGTGAACGGAGCCCAACATCAACCAATAAAATCAATAGTTCCATGACAACCCGATACCATCACATCCAGGGGTGGACTGACCATTTGGAAACTCGGGCACTGCCCGAGGGCCCGGGGTCAGTAGGGGGCCCATAAGATGCCCCTGGTACCTTTTTCATAGGCTTTTTTGAGTTTGGGCAAGGACACAGAGGCCCCATGGTCCCCTATTGCCCGGGGGCCCCATGAGTTGTCAGTCCGCCCCTGCTTTTAGGAAAAGTATACAGAAGGACAATCCCCCTGCCACACCCCCTATAAAAAAAAAGCAATGAAAAATTACCTAGTTTCACCCCCCCCACAGAGCACCCTTTACTCTCTCTGGACATGCGTAGTAGTCGCAAGAGCTGAAGTGGTCAAAGCAGTAGGAAACCGCAACTTGAAGAAAAGAAATCCCCTCCAAGGTAATGTCATACGTATGCATTGTATACCAGCACATTATGAAGGACTTGCCTTAAAACTAAACCCTCCAGGAGCACGCTGTCACCACAGACAGGGCTTCCATCTTCACTCCGTCTTCCTTCTGAGTTCTCGAGCTCCGGCCATATGACTGGCTGAACCACGATGACGTCACTAGGCCTCGGCGCATGGCTCTGAAGGGACAGCAGGGGTATTTCGTTCCTTCAGAGCGCGTGCGCCGGCTGTCATAAATATCTCCTAAACGTGCACCGAAAATATTCATTTTATCTACAGGTAAGCTTTATTATAAGCTCACCTGTAGGTCAAAGATACAAAAGTGGGTTCACTTCCACTTCAATATAGCAAAGTGATTGGTTAGACTTGGGCCTCATGTACACATGAACCTCCCTTTACAGGTTATGCTCTCCTGGCAGAAAACACTAAACGGCGGGGGGGGGGGGGGGGGGGGGCGGCGCTTGTAAATGTGGTGCCTCATTTAGCGCTTGGACGTTTATTCATTTGACTGGCCAGAGTATCTTCCATTGACATGGATAAACGCACCAAGCGCTAAACACGGCTAGCGTTTAGACACATTTTTTTTGGCCAAAGCGTACCTCTCCTGAATGCGATTCTTCTGCATTCAGGAGAGAAACGTTTAACTGCCCCTGAACTCTGTTGTCCCTAAACCCTGGTAAAAAGGGCACACAGTTAACCCTTTGATCACCCCCGATGTTAACCCTTCCTGCCCAGTGTCATTAGTACAGTGTCAGTGCTTTTTATTAGCACTGATCACTGTATTGGTGTCACTGGGGATGTCAGTGACACCAAGTCAGTTACCCCCCCCCCCCCCAGTGTCAGAATGCCCACCACAGTCTCGCTATGTCGCTGATCGCCGCCATTACTTTAAAAAAATATATATATTCCAGTATCTATACCACTGTTTGTAGATGCTATAACGTTCACGTAAACCAATTAATTTACACGTATTGGGATTTTATTTTAGCAAAGACACGGAGCAGAATACATTTTGGCCTAAATTTATGACGAAATTTTTTTTTTTTTTACTGGACATGTTTAATAGCAAAAAGTGAAAAAAAAAGAAAAAAAATAATATAAATATATATATATTTTGACTTGTTGCTATTAAACATGTCCATAAAAAAAAATAATAATAATATAAATAATATAATATATAAAAATATATATATTTTTTTTTGACTATTTGCTATTAAACATGTCCAGAAAAACAATACATATGTATGTGTGTGTGTGTGTGTGTGTGTGTGTGTATATATATATATATATATATATATATATATATACATTTTTTTTTTCAAAATTGTCGGTGTTTTTTGTGTTTATAGCGCAAAAAATTAACAAAACGCACAGGCGATCAAATACCATAGAAAGAAAGTTCTCTTTGTGGGGGGGAAAAAAGGACGTAAATTTAATTTGGGTGCAGCGTTGCATGACCGTGCAATTGTTAGTTAAAGTAACGCAGCGCCATATCGCCTGGTCAGGAAAGGGAGGGGGAAATCTGGAGGACAAGGGGTTAAAATTTCAGTCCTGCTTATGGCCACATACATATGAGCTGCTTGTATGTCACAAATGAAAGTACCCTCCTTTTTAAAGCTGAACTCTGAAGAGCAAAAAAATGTAATTCAGATTTATTCTTCGGTAGCCACAGTGAACATAAATCCAATTTGTGTGCTTCAAATGCTCATTATTTTTCGAACCTTCTTTCCTCTCACCTGTCAGATAAATTACAATGAATAGAAGTTTCTTATCTCTCTGCATTAGTCACAATGTGGCCACACCCTCCACCCATAGAAAGCCCCGCCCACTTCCATACGAGTCGCTGGGAATGCAGGGACACATTCAGGGGCGGACTGACAACTCATGGGGTCCCCGGGCAATAGGGAATCATGAGGCCCGTGTCCTTGCCCAAACTCAAAAAAGCCTATGAAAAAGGTACCAGGGGCATCTCATGGGGCCCCCTACTGACCCCCGGGCCCTCGGGCAGTGCCTGAGTTTCCAAATGGTCAGTCCGCCCCTGGACACATTCTTTCCCCATTCGGGTTGTGGGGTAGGAGAGTCATAGGAAACAATGGAGAGGTGAGACGTAGGCCGGCCATACACGGGGCGAATTCCGAAATAATTTTTGTTAGAATTTCGCACCATTAGTGGGCCACAGAACCGACCGATTTTCGTGTGTCCATCGAAGTTGGCATGTTTGACATTTTTTAAAAAACGAATGAATTTCTAATCAATGACGGGAGAATCGTTTGAGAAACATAAATGAAAAAGAAATGAGCGTAAGCTGTGACTTGGATAGAAAAGAAAATTCTTACCCCACAAAAATTCTTTTCTGTAGCAGCACGAGGTGAACCTGAAGGCTCGGGTGGTTGAATTTTGAAATCAAAGATGGCGCCATCAGGTTACAAAGTGCGTGAAATTTCTGTATTTCTAAAGAAAATTCGTTCAGAATTCGACCCGTGTATGGCGTGCATTATTCTGGGTATAGAGAGCTCCTCTTCTAGGAGACAGAATTCTATGATGTGATCCAGGGGCATCTCATGGGGCCCCCTACTGACCCCGGCCCTCGGGCAGTGCCCAAGTTTCCAAATGGTCAGTCCGCCCCTGGATGTGATGGTATCGGGTTGTCATGGAACTATTGATTTTATTGGTTGATGTTGGGCTCCGTTCACAACAATACGGTTTGGTGTTTTTTTGTTTTTTTTTTTGGTTTTTTTTTATGGTGATTTTTTTTTTTTTTTTTTTTTTTGCTTTTGTTTTTAGTGCTTTTTGCAGAAACACACTACAGGCCATTCATGGTTTCCTATGGGAGACGTTCACATCTCTGCTTTTTTGAGCTGCTGCGTTTTTGGAAAGGATCAGGGACTTGTTTCAAAGCAGCATTTTTGCTACAATAGAGTTCAATGGAGAATCTGCTGTAGTGCGTTTTTGCAGCGTTTTGCATTTTTTTATTCTGCCCAGCAACAACAAAAAAAAAAACAACTTTCAAAAAAAAAAAAAAAGGTGCGCGTCAAACGCAAAACGAACTATGAAAAGCACTGCAAAACGGACAAAAAGCAAACTTTTATAGGTGTGAACGGAGCCTTAGAGATGATCTGAAGACTTCTTGGTTGTTTTGAATGGAGTCGGGATGGATTGGAACCTCTGTCAGGTTTTTGTTGCTGTCCGTGTCCCCTCTGCAGAGATCCATCCTCTCTGTTCTGGTGACCATTGTCACTGGGAGAGAAAGTGATGAGAAATCCAACATTTAAATTTAGGAGGGCCTATCCCCCTCATTGTTGGGGAGATTTCTTCACTTCCTTTTGCATTTTTTTTTTTGACAGGAAGTAAAAAGAATTCCACAATTTGGACATTTATTTATTTATTTCAGGTACTTATATAGCTGTCAATGTACACAGCGCTTTACATATATATTGTACATTCACATCAGTCCCTAAACCTCAAGGGGTGTACAATCTAAGGTCCCTAACCCTCAAGGGACGTACAATCTAAGATCCCTAACCCTCAAGGGGCGTACAATCTAAGGTCCCTAACCCTCAAGGGGCGTACAATCTAAGGTCCCTAACCCTCAAGGGGCGTACAATCTAAGGTCCCTAACCCTCAAGGGGCGTACAATCTAAGGTCCCTAACCCTCAAGGGGCGTACAATCTAAGGTCCCTAACCCTCAAGGGGCGTACAATCTAAGGTCCCTAACCCTCAAGGGGCGTACAATCTAAGGTCCCTAACCCTCAAGGGGCGTACAATCTAAGGTCCCTAACCCTCAAGGGGCGTACAATCTAAGGTCCCTAACCCTCAAGGGGCGTACAATCTAAGGTCCCTAACCCTCAAGGGGTGTACAATCTAAGGTCCCTAACTCACATTCATACATACACATACTAGGGCCAATTTAGACAGGAGCCAATTCACCTACCAGCATGTCTTTGGAGTGTGGGAGGAAACTGGAGTACCCTGAGGAAACCCACGCAGGCACAGGGAGAACATGCAAACTCCAGGCAGGTGGTGCCGTGGCTGGAATTTGAACCAATGACCCTAGTACTGCCAGGCGGAAGTGCTAACCACTTATCCACTGTGCTGACTGTGAAATGCAAAAGAGACAACTTTTCACCATTTGATATGAAATCGGATTTATTTTGCTTTCTGTTTCCTCCTTTTTATCTCCTCATCAACATGTCAAACTTTGAAATAAAAAATTATATTTTAATTACATGACTGGGTTTCTGTGCTTCTCTATGCAACGCAAGCAGATCGTGGCTGGTGGGAGTGACAGGAGGGGTGCTGTACATAGCTTCCTGAAAACATCACAGCACCCCGCCCCAGTACTCCTCTTCAAGAGCCTTCTGCCCTGATGCAAGCAGTGGTTTGGCTCTTTGGAGGAGGTATGCAGATGTCAGAATGGTTTGATGGGTGGGTGTCAGTCTGGAAGAGTGTGGGCGCTCCTAGGCAGGCTATATATGCATACAGAGCACCCCCGGCAATGCCCACATGTGATGCTGAGCCTCCTTAATTACATGACTGGGTTTCTGTGCTTCTCTATGCAACACAGGCAGATCGTGGCTGGTGGGAGAGACAGGCGGGGTGCTGTACATAGCTTCCTGACAACATCACAGCACCCCGCCCCAGTGCTCCGCTTCAAGAGCCTTCTGCCCTGATGCAAGCAGTGGGTTGGCTCTTTGGAGGAGGTATGCAGATGTCAGAATGGGTTGATGGGTGGGTGTCAGTCTGGAAGAGTGGGCGCTCCTAGGCACGCTATATATATGCATGCAGATCACCCCCGGCAACGCCCACATGTGATGCTGAGCATCCTTGATTGAAAGAACTGAAATCAGATGAATGAAAGAGGCGGGGCAGGGACAGTCAGGCTGGGGAGGAAAGGGCTAGATGATGTTGGCTATCCTCCTGCCGGGAAATGAGGCGGAGCTCTATTTGACTTGATGCAGCTTCCAATGCACGCTGTGAGAAGCTCAGTGTGCAGCGAAATCAGAGAAAGCCATTTCAGTCCAGGAGAGGAGCCGGTACACCTGTGCAAGACTGAAGGTCAGATTCAAAGTGATACTAAAGGCTCAATTTTTCAAAAATACCAAAACCTGTCATACTTATCTGCTGCAATGGGTTAGCTCAGGGCAGCCCCAATCCTCCTTTTCTCAGGTCTGCATTGGCGCTCTGGACTCCCCCTTACTCCAGATCCCAGCTCTGTGTGTCCAGCAAGGCTCGGCTCCGCCCCTGTTCCCGCATCACTGGCTGTGATTGACGGCTCTGGAAGCCAATGCCCTCAATCTTTCTTTTTTAAGAGCATTATTTGATAAAACACATCTCTTTTAGACATACGTGCTTCTCACTGCCAGCCACTGGGGGCTGCAAACTTTAGCTGTGTAATCTGCTGATCAGTTGCTTGAACATGTACGTCTAAAGGGATGTCGGGAATGTTTTTTTTTTTCTTCATAAAAATGCTCAGGAACCCAATGACTGATGGTATAAAGATGTAATAGCCGTAAAAGTAAGGCCAACAGTGCAGATCAGGTGGAGACGGGAATGATGATTAAAGCCATTCTGAAGGTGGGTCCCTGATGACCTGCTGCCAGGGGCGGACAGACAACTCATGGGGCCCCCAGGCAATAGGGGATCATGGGGCTCCTGTGTCCTCACCCACACTCAAACCACATCCAAAAAAGCTTGTGAAAGGTACCAGGGGCATCTCATGGGGCCCCCTACTGACCTCGGGCCCTTGGGCAGTGCCTGAGCTCCTGAATGGTCAACCCGTCCCTGCCTGTTGCAGTTTCAATGGGTTGTATTGTAGTAAATGTGTAGGGAACAGGATCGGACTGACAACTCATAGGGCCCCCAGGCAATAGGGGATCATGGGGCCCCTGTGTCCTTGCCCAAACTCAAAAAAGCTCATGAAAAAGGTACCAGGGGCATCTCATGGGGCCCCCTACTGACCCCGGGCCCTTGGGCAGTTCCCGGGTTTCCAAATGGTCAGTCCGCCCCTGGTAGTGAATTGAAAGAAATCCGTTCTCAACACGGGGGGAGGAGTTAGAAGTATTCGCAGAACGGTGAGTCTGTAAAGAGAAACTTTTGGGAAAAAAAACTGATCATCTGGATCCAAATGAAGGGCATGGGGGAGCTATGGATGATTGGCATCCCTCAGAGCAGGGTCGTAGATAAAAAATTCCTGTGGCGGGGGATTCGGGTTGGATACGGGGGCGGTTTTCTGAAAGCCGTGGGCCTGTGTGCAACGCAGCGTGGCGGGGGGCAAATATTGGGGGTGGTTCTCTTTGCGCTGAATATTGGCCGTGGTATAAAGGGACACAGAGTTCAGGGGTCAGTCGTTTGTCGGGAAGCGAGGAACATTCTTGAGAATTTCATTATGGTCAGGCAGGAATTCCACTTGACGCCCCGGGCACATCGGATACGGTTTGCAAATCGCATGCCAAGTGGCACCCTATTGTCCGCCATTAGAGCGATCATACCGGCGCGGTTCCGACTTGGTTGGATCCGCACCGATTTCCACAGAAGTCCATGCTCTACTTTTGCTGCGATTTGCATGGACATCAGTGTGAGATATCTTGCAAATCACACCTGAAATCATCAAGTCACTCGACTTTGAAATCGTATATGTATAATGTTGAAATGCATTTTTTTATATATTACTGAATATATGAAAAATATTTTTTAAATATATTCTGCAGATTTTTTTTTTAACATATAAAAAAAAAAAAAAAAGTCATTTTAACATATATTTTTACATATATTTGTAAATGCATTCCACAAATGTAAATTAAATGTGTTTTTAACCGCATGCCGTCCAGCCACTGTACATATATACGGTGGCAGGGCGGCACTCACAGGCAAAACCACGTTTTAAGACGTTTTGTAAACAAATAGGGGGCGCGCGCGAGGCGCGCCGCCGCCCTATTTGTCCCGCGGATCACCGCCGCAGATGTCAGTCGCCGGGTCACAGCCGCTCCTTAGTGGCTATGTCCCGGCGATCGGCGGCAAACAGTGACAGAGAGCACAGCTGCAGTAGCTGTGCTGTCTGTCACTTCCTTCTCAGCTCCAGGACGAGCTGATCAAGAAAGAACA